AAACACCATGTTCAGCTAACGACAAAGGAGGATGTTGGGGGTGGGGGGAGTCTGTTACAGGAGATCACCACTAAAGCACAGTAAACAAGAGTAAGGTTATTATGCAGATTTAAGGCCTCACCTTGCACATTGATAAGCCTCTAGAAATGAGGTCATCCCCCCCTCCTCCCAAAACAGAGAAGGAGATACCTTTACAAATGGAGATTCCCTTATAAATGTAAATGTTTGTCTGGCAACTCCTTGCAGGGCCATCCAGAGAATGTGGCCAGAGAGACAGAACTTCCGATAAGATGGGCTTGTTGGTGCCTTTCCTATTGTAACATTTATCCTACATTATCTTTACAGCCATCATGATAGATCTGTTCCAGGAAGGAGTTACTATGTCAAATTCTTTAGGCAGTTAGTGGGGGAGGTCTAATGTCCCTAGAGAAAACAACCAAGGTAAAGAGAGAGATTTCAGGGTGGCCAAATCTTGATCTCCCACAATATTCAGCCCTTTTCATGTGAAAGAGCCATCCCAGAAGATCCTTCCTTTAGCACAGTGGCTCTTAACCACGGCGACTTGGGCAACATCTGGACAGATGTTTGGTTGTCACAACAGGGAAGGGGGAGTGCTATGGGTGCCCAGCAGGTAGAGGCCAGGGATGCTGCTGACCGTCCTGCCACACACAGGACAACCCCCACCAAGGCATGAATGGGGCCCAGCATGTCAGCAGTGCCAGGGCTGAGAACCTGCTCTCCGGTGTTGTTCCTGCACTCAGCTCTAGTTCCTTTGGCCCCACGCCAGCCTGGGGGCAGATGCTCAGGATTTATCTCGCAGCCCCTCCTGCCTCCAGCTCCCCATGTGGAGCAGCTGCGCCCTCAGGGTTCCCCACACGACTGGTGCAGGCCTCCCAGCTGATGCCCTGCCTGGCCCATCCACACACTGCCCGGTCCTCTCTCCCGTGTTCTCTCCCACAGGGGTCCTCAGCCCGAACTGCACATTAGAATCAACTGAGGAGTCTAAAAATATATGCCAGCACTTGTGCCCCATCCAGCTTGATTAGTTTGGAATCTCTATGGCAAGAGCCTGGCCTTAAGTCGTCTGTAAAGCTCTCCAGGAGCTTCCACCATGTGGCCAGGGCGGAGAACCACCCCGCCAGCGCGCCTGGGGCCTGCGCAATTCCGCAAACCCATGCCTGGACACCACGGCCCTCCTCTATTGCCTTATCCATCTCTGGCCCTCTGCTCCGCTGGTTCTATGCAAACTGGACTCCTCACTGTTGATGACATGCACGCTGCGCATCCTGCTTGTGGCCTTGCTCCTGTGAGGCTCTGTGACCCGGTCTCTACCCATCCACGCAGAATCGCCCCCGGTGGAAATACTGTGCAGCCAGCAGAGCCCATCTCGGCTCCCACCTCCATTGCGGTGCTTTCCTGAGTTCCCATCTGCGCCTCCTGGAAGCCCCTGGCCTTTATAACTCTCCTCTGGATTTCAGCATACTGGACCATGGATTATGGTGATTGAAAAGCCGTCCTTTACTCGCCATTTTCCCTCTATTCTCCCATCACTAATCAAACCCTAAACCTATTGACAGTTCAGGCTCGACCTGCTCGCAGGTCCAGCCTTCCCAGCACCCAGCAGAGGCCTCACACGTGCTGTGGTCAGGACATACTTGGCCAGAAGTGCAGCCTGGGAAATGACCAGGCCTCACCCCCCTCTCAGTGTCCCAGCCCCAGACACATGCCAGAAGCCCCTGCCAGCACATGCCCCAGTTGCCACGTCTCTGCGACTTGACCATCAGCATTACAAAGCTTTCCTCAGCTCCCTGCAACACCAAACACATGCTCCATCCTTACCGTCCACCTCAGAAAGAGAAAACCATGCAGCCCAGCAAACAGCCTCGGCTTCCCGAGCACAGGGACCGCCAGAGCGCCAGCTCTCAGCTGAAACCCCTCGGTATCGTGAGGGTGAGGCCAGCTTGAGACAAGCAGACGCCTCCTAGTGCTCCCAGGGCTTGAATCTGCCCTTGTGCGGCAGCATGATGACTGGTTTGGGGTGGTTTTTTTTAATTTTTTTTAAACAATTCCAGTTTAATTTTTTTTTATTTATTTATTTTTTCCCCCAAAGCCCCAGTAGACAGTTGTATGTCGTAGTTGCACATCCTTCTAGTTGCTGTATGTGGGACATGGCCTCAGCATGGCCGGAGAAGCGGGGCGTCGGTGCGCGCCCGGGATCCGCGCCCGGGATCCAAACCCAGGCCGCCAGCAGTGGAGCGCGTGCACTTAACTGCTAAGCCACGGGGCTGGCCCAGGGGGTGGTTTTTTTAAATTGTCATCATCCCGCACTTTGGAAGGATGATTGTAAATGATTCATGATAAAATAACCTTGTGGCATCCTAGGGGTGCTTGACGCCAATACAATGATTGCCCCTAAAAAGATGTTCTGAAATCTTCATATTAGACAGACTCAATACAGTTGTGAGATGACAGGGGGGTGCGAGGTCAGAGCTCAGGGTCCCACAAGTGTCCTGACACCCAGGTGTCAGGCCCTAGGGTGTGCCCTCCAGGTGCTGCCCCGGCTCTTCTGTAAAGTGGAGATCAGCCGACACTGTGATGTTCTCTTCCACAGAGTGTGGCGAGGGCCGGATCTGCTGGCGTCTCCCGGAGGGCCTGCAGGCAGCCGTGACTCCCGGAGCTCTGGGATTGTGGAACATGTTGATACGAGGCCCCGAGCTTCCTGGCCTTCCCCTGGCCCTTCCCCATGAGACAGGGAGTAAGAGAAGGGCAAGTGCACACAATTCAGTCTACACAAGAAGCAGAGAGCCAAAAAGAAAACACAAAAACAACAAGACAGTTCCTCCTACAAATATCACCTGCCGGGATTCGCTTATAATTGCTTCTGCCCTGCCTTTCATCCCATGTGTTTGCAGTGCCGGCCCTCGCCAGAGTGGCAGGACCCAGTTGTCATTTGGGTTGTTGAGGGTCTATACTCCATCACATTTGTTCAGGCAGCTCCCCAAAAGTATCACTAGGGTGCACCCAGTGCTTCCTGTGCTTATAGCCAAGTCTTTGTCTGATCTCTCTTATCAAAAGGAATTTGGGGCATGTGTGGATGGAGAGGGAGGAAAAGGTAAGGATGGGAAAGCGAGTTGAAGGACTGATTCTCTAGAACTCTGGGTTCAGAGTCAGAAAACCTGAGCTCCAAAACCATCCCTGGCACTTACTGGCCAAGCATGACCTTGAGTAAGTTATTAAACCTCTTTGGGCTTCAGCCTCATCATTTACGTGTGAATTCCCTTGGCATAGAGTCCTTGAGTCCCTGTTGCTGGCCAGGCACTGGGTGAGGTACTGGAGACTGACGAGGAAGACACGGTCTGACCCTAGAGTCTGCCAAAAGGCCAGGTGGACGTGTCCTCATCTCTGACAGTCATTGTGATAATTGCTATGCACAGGCCACTACCCTCTACCCTCCCTGACCTCACAGGGTGGACAGGAGGATCAGATGAGAGAAGGTTCCAGAATGCCAGAGCTTCACGCAGATAGAGACCATCATTGTCATCGCGATGACTAACCCTGTGTAGGTCATTCTGGAAATAAGAGGCCAGAAAAGTTACTGGGGGCTGGTCAAATTTCTGAGCTGGTAAATACTATTGTAACTTGCTAGTTACTATTTAAATCTCAAGTGTTTGAGGGATTTGAAGTATATTTTACTCAAATGTTGAATTACTATGACCCAAGATATTATTTCAGGTGCATGTTTTAAATCAGGCTTTTCATCTTGCACTGTAGGCAGCTGAGTTTGTACGGTCTCTTCTGGGCTGTGAAGAGCATGCCAAGAGCCTCAGGAAAGAGGTAGGAAACGTAGAAATTACATATATTTTTACACCCAGAAGTGCTTTGTTTCCGTTTACTTAAGTGTAAATAAGAGTGGTCTGGGGAGGCAAGAGAAGGGAGGTCCAGGCAGGAAGAGCCCAGCAGTGTAGCTGGGGCACAGCAGGGTCAATCTGCGGCTTAGCTTGCTTCATGGTTAGCCATGGTTTGGCCCAGAATGCTGTGGTGCTTGGTGCATACAGCATGCTCAAGAAATGGACTACTGGAACACATTGATTAATTAACACCTATGGGTGTCAGGAAGCTTCGGCACTGTGACTTGAGGCTGCACCAGGGCAGGGAGGAGTCCCGCCGTGGGCCTGCACCCAGGGAGGAAGGGAGATTTGTCTACTCCAAAGTGAAAGTTGGACTGTCTTGTCTCTCTTTGCTCTTTCCCTGCTGAGGAGGGAGGCAAAGAAGCGACCACATCCTTCTATGGGGTTTCTGCTTCCAAACTCCTCTTGGGTAGGAATGTACCAAACTGCTTAACATTTGTCCTGGAATTAGTATCCATGGAGACTTGACCCAGAAGAGACTAGACCAGCCACAGCATAATAACACAGATATCAGTGATGGTTCTGGTCTGTCGTGGCTTGCCATGGGCCAGGCCCTGTGCTCGGCACTTGACGACTGTCATCCTTGAGTCCTCACAGCAGCTCTACAGGACAGTTCACCGATGAAGAAGCGAGGACACAGTGAGGAAAGGGCAGTCAGATTCCAGCCCACGTCCATCTCATTCCAGAGCCTCCATCATTGCTCTAGAACTCTCCAAGAAAACTAGACCCCTAAAGACTCTAGGATGCAGCACATACTCTGCCTCTCTAGAGTTCAGGGCGTGCATGGTTCAGGGGAGGTACTCTTTGAGTTTGGGGTCCTGGACCCCTCAGAGCCCGGCAAGCCCTGTGTCTCCAGGGAACTCAGCGTCAGGGTCATGATGCCGTCAGTCTCGGTTGCTGCCAATGGAAAGGTGGGGTCCGCCTGCTTCCATCTGAGCCCAGCACGGCTTGGGCATAGTTGGCCCAGACTCACACATATGGGCCACTCTCTGCATTTAGCGATGCCCAAGACCTGCCCTGTCCACAAGTCTCTTTGCAGGTCAAGTTGCTCCAGCTTCGCACTTAGGACCAGCAGTGTGATCATGGGCAAATCACCTAACCTGTCTTTCCTGTTCTCTGTAAACACAGGCTTATGTGAGGGGACATTTCAGGATCAGGATTAGTGTGTTACAGTGCCCAGCCCAGTTCTTGCCCCAGAGGAGGGGCTTAATAAACGGCAGCAATATGGACCGAGGGTCTTCTCTGGAGGCCAGCAAGCCCTGCTTGCAACCACAACATGGCCTCTGAGAAGCTGTGTGACGGTGAGCAAGTCGTGAGGTTTATAACTGTAGATTTCCTCCTCCGCCTCCCAGTGTTGTCGGGAAGATCAAATGCATGGAAGCAATTAGTATAACTCCGGAACCATTAACTGTTACCATCGCCACCATTATTACTTTATTCTTAGGAAAACTGGCTATTTGGCCGGCAGATTTTTCCTGAAAATGCTGGAACTGAACCCAGGTTAGGGGATGGAAGAGGGAGACTCTCTTCTCAGCTGTGGAAAATATGCTGAATACCCATGGGAAAGGTATTCTATTCTCTAAATGGACGATTCTTCGTCAGACAATATATCACACATGCACAGGAAGCTTTTTACAACTCTTAAACCTTTAGCCGCCTCCCAGGATTGCCGTTGGTCCTCCTTCCTCAGTGAGACGTTGACTGAGGGGTTTGTATTGTTAATTCAAAAGGGTCAGAACCACAGTGCTAGGTTCATGGAAGGGTGGTACCATAGAAAACCGTTTCATTCTGTCTTCTTGGTTCTGAAACCAGGACTCATTCTGAGCCCATCTGTGTGGATAGGTGACGTGGGTGTAGGACATGCCCACAGTCCCCGACATCAAACTCTGAGACCACACTGGGGCCCCAGAGGCTGTAGAAAAGCGACCTGCCTGGTGGCCACTTGCCATCGCGTGAATCTCGGGAGGGCTATTACATTTCAGACCACAATATGTTTTAAAAGTTAATAAATAAACATTTATTCAATATGTATTTTTGTTTTTAATAGTTGGAATTTATGATAGAAAAAATTTTAAATACAGAAAAGTTAAAAGGAGAAAATAAAAACCAAACCACTATTCCACCAGCCAAAGATAACTTCCCTTAACATGTGGTGTAAAGACTTCAAAGATTTTAACTATGTATATATATACATGTGGTCACGTACATTTAATTTTACACATTAAAACTGTATCATTTTTGTATTATCATATCACGTTTTGATGCTTAATGATTCATGAAAAATTTCCCAAACCATGAAGTGTTTCATTGAGACATGAATTTTGGTGACTGCATGGTACCTCATCCCAGGTGATACCATAATTTATTGACTTCTGCTATTTTTGAAATACTGGGTTGTTTTCAACATTTCACTATTGTAAATTACACTAGAGTGTACACATTGCTCATTGTTCTCTTGGGAAAAATTCCTGGAGATTGACTTAGCGGATGAAAGTAGGTTATTTTTAAGGCTCTTGATACAAATTCAGGCCAAGATTTTTAAAACGTATCAATAGAAATTTAGCCTGGGAATAGTTAGAGTATACTGAATTCATATTTAACAGAGTGAACACCTTTTTAATTCACCTTGGCTTCGGGGTCCTGGGGGGAAATGGAGATGTGTGATGGTTGGAGCTGAGGGGAATGCGTCGTGCTCTCATCACTGAGCTCTGCGGGGAGGCCGTCCCAGGGTCAGCGCCACAGAGCCCAGCGCCCAGGAGCTACTCGGGTAAACAGGCTTTCATGGCAGGATGGTTTGATTTGTGTTTATTTATTTCCCTGCAGCATATTGACAGCAAAGCCTTCCTGCTTCTGACACAGACAGACATCGTCAAGGTGATGAAGATCAAACTGGGCCCAGCACTGAAGATTTCTGCCTCCATCCTCATGTTCAGGAATTCCCAGGACCTCCCTGAGGAGGACACTGTCTCAGGCCCAGAGTCAGGGGATAATGGCACCACCAGAACTGCCGTGGCACCAGCATCTTGTTCTCTCTGCAATAAAATTGGCCCACATTAATTTGATTTTAATCTCCCCCAGGTCACACCTGTATTTAATCTGGACCTTTTAAAATGCCTGTGGTTTATATGTTTAAAGGATTTTGAGGACTGACCCAGTGCTGACAATGCAGAGGCCCAGGCACGGGTGGCTTTGTGAACGTCTTTATCTTTACTGGGGTCTTTTCAGCTCTGAGGCGTTGCAGCAAACAGACCAAAGAAGCCCACACATACACCTTTATCCTTCTCCCTCACCGTGACACAAGCCATGTTCCATTTTGAAAGCATAAAACTCACAAGTGGCAAAATATTAGAAAAAACAATATTCATAAATACGTTATTAATGTTTTCACATTCACATTTTGCTAGGCTCAGATTTGCCATCTGGGTGCAGAGAGTCTAAGAGATAGTGGCCTGGTGCTTTAAAAAGACTTCATGTGAGATTTTTGTGTACTTAAGAAAGTGTGCATCTTTAAAAAATAATAATAATAAACACATGTTTTCATCCTTCATTAATTCTTCTTTTTGTTCTGTCAACTGCCTCGGTAGAGCTACCCAGGTTGCCTGGAATGTGCCCAGGAGTAGCATTGACAGTCAGCCTGGGCATTTGGCAGCAGCTGGGGAGACCCTGCTGAGGAGCCTCCATGGTGAGCAGAGCCTGCAGGCCACCTCAGAGGAGCCTCCAGAGCTGCGCTGGCCTGCGGTCAGTCTGCGTGTGTGCTGAGGAGCTCTCCCACGTCACGGCCTTGTGTGCATCCTTACAAACAGACACACCACTGACAGGGGAGAGCTGTAGAGCAGGGAGCTTGGTATCTGGTGTTGGTTTGAACACTTCTGCTTTGTCGTCGGACCTTATTTGTTTTGTATAAGTGACTGTATCTGAGACTTAAGTTATGTGGAGTCAGTCCCACCGTTTTGAAAGACAAGCACCTCTTCCCTTGCACACACCCACAGAAGGAGTGACAAACGCCCCTGGAAGTGGAGCGCCATTGTTTTTTCAGGGAGAGAGAAAAGAAACAGAAGAAAGAGAGATTCAGACCTGACTGTACCCATTTGTTTCATTAAGAATCTTATGGTTTAAGAAAGTTGATTCTGCTTGGAGAGTTTCTCAAACTTTAGGTCACTGAGGAAAAAAAATACCTTCTCTGAGAGGTGTGCATATATTACATTTCTTTAGATCCTTACCTAAATGGAATTTTAATATATTATTGGTTGATGTAAATTTTTGTCTCTGGGCAGTTTTGTTTTTTGGATTTTTTTGTAGACTGTCAGGTACAATTAAAATTCCTGCTGCTGCTATGTTAAAATTTTAATATATTTTCAATGACAATAAATGGATAAAATAAAACCCCACCTCACAAACTTCTGTGGTAGTAACCTGTGCCTGTGCCACAGCCGAGGGCAGTGTTTCTCGGCCACGGAAGAACAAAGGCAGCTCTGCATGCATCAGCCAGCAAAGAAGTCCACCATATTGGGGTACGTAGGAGAGGTTTCCTTAGGGAAGTAAATTTAGGTGTTAACAATTTGAGAGATTAAATTGGAGGTTTTTTAATTAAAAAGAACTTCAAAATTGCTCATGGTATAGGCTCCATAAAGCATGAAATTTGTGGTTCGTATATTTAATACATGTCATTTCAACAGAAGGATCTAGAACAGGACAGATAATACCAAGCCACTTTAGGGTTGAACTATTGTGTTCCTAGAAGACAGTGTGATCAGATAGAAGGAGCTTGAGCCAGGTATCTAGCCACCTGCTGGATGTCCCCACTTGGTCACCCAAGTACGTCCACCTTGAAAAGGGAGCTCAGATGGTCCCACCCTAGCTTTCCTCACCTAAGTGAACACCACCTCGCCAGAGTAGGGGCTCAAGGTAGGGAACTAGAATCGTCTCACTCTTTGTCAGTCTCTGTGGTTTACATTCTACCAACAGGACATCGCTGATCGTGGAGGTGGGGAGAGAGGTGCAGAGTCAGCTCTCGAGCTTGCGGCCCAGCAGGCTGCAGGCGTCCACACCTCACCACTGCCTCACCTTCTCAGGCGGAGCTCTCTTCATGCTCTTTCACTTTCTGTGCTGGACCAACACCGAACTCTTGGGACTCACATCTTTGCCGATGCTGATCCCCCTCCCTGGGGTGCTTCCCCCCCACACCCCTGTCCTCAATAGTCTTTCTTGACACCTTTCTGTTAGCGTCCTACGGCAGCTATACCTCCCATCACATTGCTCCTTACTCTTTATTGTTGTTGCTTGCTCGTCTCTCCGCACTAGTCTAGAGAGTCTGTAAGGACAAAGACCATGGGGGGTCTTGTTATCACTTAGTCCTAGCACTTGGCGTGTTATCTGGCACTTAATTGGCACGAAGTAAGTTATTAGTTGCATCAGTGAATGAAGCAAGCCAATCAAACTCAAATCCAAACCCCAGCTCTGTCAATTTCCTAGATAGGTGTAACTTCTCTGTAAAATGAGAAAATAATACCTACCCCAAGGCGTTTTTAAATTCGATTTTAAGGATGTGTGCATGTCTGTGAATGTAACCGACGTAACACATATAAGGTGTGTGACACCTAATAGTAGCCATTAAGTGGTGTCAGGAAAATAACAGCAAGAGAGACCTATTTCTTGAACATTCTTCCAGGAATCTCCCACATACAAACCCCTTAAATTTGCATCAAGCCTGACCCCAAGGGGGCTGCCCTTATTAGTGTGGCTACATGTTAGGGGCCAGGAGCACATGGGGCAGACCCTGGGATGCTCTTGAGGGGCCCTGATTGCCCTGGACTCAGCTCTCCCACACCAGCTTGCACTCCAGCCAGGTCCCGCCCCTCTCCCCATGCTCCCAGACAGGCTGGAAACACGGGGAGTTGAAATCTTTCCCTCTGCAAAGAGGACCCCACCACCCTCAGGAGTCAGGCAGCACCCAGAAATGACCTAGATGGTCTGAAGGCCTCGGCTGCCCCTGGGTACCACCCTCAGCCCCTTACTCTCCCCCTCTGTCCTGAGTCCCACCTGGAATATGAGTGAGTCAGGGACAAAGCAAAAAATTGCCAATACACCTTCAAGAAACACAAACTTCTAGGTTATTAGAAAGAGTTCCCCCAAAGGAGCATTTGTACTACATAAGTGCACATTAGATCCTTAGCATGAATCCTCAGGGAACTGAGGACTTCTGAGAGCCTACTCTTTGAATGCCTGTAATTTCAGATAATTTTTGCAAAAATAAATTTCTCTCACTTCCAACAACCCACAGACATTCCAAGAAAAATCTATCCTTAATCAGCTCTGAACACCTCTTTCTCTCTCTGTCTGAGGTTAGATCCTAACCTTGTGTAAGCCACGTCCTAAACAGGTTCCAAGAGTGACAACACAGGAGATTGACTCCTTGTTAACAGGGGCTCTGAGCTGTGACATCTTTCCTTGCTGAGAGCTGACTTGCAAACATCCCTGGACTTCTTGGTTGAGTTGTCTTTGTCTTTGGAATCTCCTTTTGTGGAGTGAGGTGGAGGCAGGGAAGTGTAGGGGGAAGTGCTTGGGCTTTGCTGCAAGGCCTGGGCTAGAACCCTGGTCCAGTGCCTAACCAGGTGCCTGATCTAGAAGCATCTCTTAACCACCCAGCAAATGACCAACTTGCCACATTTATTCATTTCTTTTGAAATATTGGATTTTGATTGCATTACATTTTGCTTCATATCATTTTGAAAAATATTCATTTTATCTCTGCAACTCCCAGGGCTGAAAAATATATTCTTGAATGTGAAGTGTTCCTATGAATATATTCTTAATATTCAAGAATATATTCTTCATAAATGTTTTTTTCTTATAAATTCTTCTTAAAAACTTATTCTCCTTATAAATATATTCATGAAGAATCTATTTGTTAGGATTCTTGAATATTCAGAATCCTTATAAATATATTCTTCACAAGAAATCTTTCTTCAAAAATATATTCTTGCTACACTCTCAGTCTCCCTCTCTGCCTTTCAGTTTCTAGCTGCAGTAGGGAGCTGGGACAGCCAAACTCCTTAAAACACTGCTGTGAAGACAAAAGGAAAATTAACCAACTAAAACTCAAGAGTTAAACAAGAAAACTCACTGACTGAGCCATTGCGTGAATTGCTGGTCTCAACTTGATTCCTCAGTGAGATCACCTGCTCCCAGGTCTCTGCACCATATATCCCTTTCAGGCAGATGATGGACTTTGAATCCAGTGATCAATGAAACCCGGCCTGGCTGCCGCTGCCCAATGCCCAATGCCCAAATGCCCAGCTGGGGTGCACAGGGACGTCCAGAGGGCCTTAAAGCAGCCGCGAAGACTCAGTTCTTGAGTAAAAAGAGCAGAGGACTACAGCTACGCTGACAGCACGTGTCGTCCCTCCCTTGAAGACCTCAGAGCGTTCAGGGGCAAAGCTGCAGTGTCCCAGTCACCGCACGTTGACGGGGCCATGGGAATGCTGTGGAGATGGAGAGAAGTCAGGGAAAAGGGCTGTGGGGGAAAGAAGGAAGAACCACCATTAAAAAGGGAAGGAAAGCAAAAGCTGGGAGAAATGAGACTTTGAGTTTAAAATACTGAGAGTTTTTCTCCAAATGGTTCATTTCATGGGATCAGACTAGCTGTTGTGTGAGGTTTTGCCTACAAGGCAACACCCATCAATTTCCTGTTTATGTCATTTTGAAATTAGATTGTGTTCCTTTTGATTGAGGAATCTGTGCATCAAGGTAGACTGATGCGTGAAGAATATAAAGTGCTGAGAAATCTCAGGTTAAACCCAGAATGTTCCCACAATGGATTTTTCAAACTGCAACTGATAGCAATTGTATTAAATACGCATGGAGCCTGGTTGGAAATACAAGAGCCTGTACTTCCCTGTGAAATACTGAAGCCTCAAAGGTCTTTTAGTAGGAAAAAAAAAAATGACAAGAACTACTGGCTAATATTGGCTCAATTTTATGTTTATTTATTTATTTATTTATTTATTTATTTATTTATTTTTGGTGAGGAAGATTGTCCCTGAGCTAACATCTGTGCC